AATTTTTAAACTGTGAAAAAATGAGAGAAACAGAAATAAAAATTAATAAATTCCAGTAAATTTAGTCATTCAGCATGCTACCTCTTTTTTTAGACATTCCCAAAGTCGATGATGGTTTTTTTCTCTGCGTTCATCTTTATCGCAAATTGCGGTGTGTGGCTTTAATAATCCCATGTGCCAAATATCATTTTTTTTTTTTCAATGACGCGATTCTTCTGTATTGTTTTTTATTTCGGGTGCTCGTTTAAATTGCTTGATGTATATCAAGTTTTTTCTTTCAAAGCCGACCAAACTCTTTTGCGGTCAACTTTATATGATATTAAAATTTTGCTGTACATTTTCATGTTATACCATCGTTTTGTTCGCAAAAAAAAAAAAAAATCGTGGACAGCCAAGTGTCTACTTAACGATTGCGCTGATTGTAATCATATGTTCAAATCAACAATATACAATAAATGTTTCGGTGTAAAAAAAAGCAGACGATTATTTCTATTTGCTAAGACCGTAAAAAACCGTATTAAGTCATAAATCAGGCATTATCGCATATCGAATCTAGCATAATAATATTCAATTTATTGAAGACCGAAAGGCATTGATGTATTCAAAATCAATTTGTAGTAATTCCATTTACGAAAATCAATCGAATTCACATTTGGTCAAATGGAGAGATAACAATCAAACGATTTAGTAGCGGCTCATTGAATATATTAAATCAGCAAATATGATAACAAGTTTCGGGTGGTCACATTCTTTTGAACGGAACTGTGCTATATGAATAAATTCAAATAGAATTGTTTTTTTTTTTCGCTCCCGTATGTAATGATTTAAAAACAACATTTCTGGAACGTACGGTGAATGAAATTGGGTCAATGTTTGTATTCTGTATTTTTATTTTGAGCATTTATCAACTATTCTTCTTTGTTAAATACTTTCCTGCAGAATCTATTTTTCTCTTTATTTCGCTATTGCTTCGGGAAAAATTAAACAGATCATCATTTGAAGGTATTTAAGCATCGTTTAAGAGATTTAATTAAATCTAACATACCGGCATTTGTTGCCGATGTATGAATTGTCTTTCATTTAGCGACAAAAGAAATGAGAGCAGAAAAAACCACAGTTGGCTCGAATGCGTTAATTGAAAGGCTTTTCTGCATAAAATAGGCAAGTGTGGCAACAAAATGATGAGTATCATCCAATCCATTCTGAATTATCTGGTCAATATTACATTGTCTGATTTCTACGAACTCAGGAAAGCCACACAAAAAGAGAACTGTTTGTAATGAACAATTCTTATCGTTTTTTTTTGTTGTCCAGTATTCACAATACATTTTCCTTAAGTTAAGCGGTGATGCGATTTTCCACTTGAACTAAACAAAGAGAATGAAATGAAAACTGCACAAATGGATTTCTACGTATCGTACACTAACCATGAAGCAAAACGAAATTGCAAATAGAAAATGCAACAAAACGAACGACGAAAAAAAAGGAAGCAAACGAAGAGAAGAATCAACAGTGTTAATAGATAAAAATCCATATTCTAATTTCGCATTAACAGAACCTTTTTTCTGCTTCAGTTCGATTCTGCGATGATTCAGGTGATGGGTACAATAACAATAGGAGGTAATAGATACACAACATGCGCTGCAAACAGTAACTATCACCTAAGCCGAGAAAACTCAGTACTCATGTTTTGCTCATAACGTCGGTTAGTCGTTTTGGTATTTTGCGTCAATGTTCGGTTAAAGCATAAGCACATTTCAATTTTAAACAAGAACAAAAGCAACACACGACCGAACAAAAATAAGAGAGAAGAACAGAAGATTTTTGAGATGATGTTGTGTAAATGCCTAATTAACCATGTCAAAAACCTAGGAAATTGTTTAAATTTTTACTTTTTTGTCCAAACATATATCGACATGTTTCGTCACGAAAATTATTCATCTCATATTCTTTGTGCAACATATATTGTATAGATGTAGAATGTTGAATACTTCTGTTGTTACATTTAAATGCTCCATTCATTCCATATTTCCTCATGTATGCTTTTCTGGGAAGAAGAGAGAAAAATATCGCCAGATGGAGTCACTTCTTACTTATGGGATAACTTTACTACACAGCATAGCCACTCTCCTTATATCAAACTTTTAAGCATTCTGATGAATACATTAATAAACAAACTCCATGTAGATTCTTCAATGATTAATCACGAGTATTTTGGAAAAAAGAAATGAACCGTATAAAACATCACAATTCTGAATAATTAAAACCTCTCAAAGGTATTGAAGCGTATCAAAGGATATATAAGGCATGTTGGAAAACATTCGATTTGTATTCAGTAACAAGTGTAATTGTAAACTGTTTGAATAAATGTGAAATAAAGCCTTCCATTTAAATCAAATAGAGTTAAACCCATATCAAAAATCTAAAGAAGTTAATTTTTTCTTTCAGAAGAATAAAAAATTTTATCTAAAAAGTTAAAATGAGTTACATGCCTACGACTAGAATGTTTTTGAAAGGATTTGGCTTGTATCCAAATAAAAGCATAACAAAAGTTGGTGTTTCTGATACATTACGAATTATTGTAACAAGTTTGCCGTTATGGTTCGTTGCATTGACGAGTTATGCATATTTGAAAGCAAATCTAAAAACTGCTGACATTGCGGTGATTACTGATGCCATGTATACCAATTTTATATTCACAATGATGTGCTGCAATTATGTTTTGTTAACCATCCGAAAATTTCAAGTACGAAAAGTCATTGATGACATAGGCAGAGTTGTGGCTGACCGTAAGTAGTTTCAATCTAATAAAATCTTTCAAAGAATTAATTTCCAATAATTATTATCACATAAAAGGTCGTTTGAATAAATGCAGCACAGCCACTATTTATGACAGTGCAAACGAACGAAGTGAAAATTTCATCAAAAAGTACACATTTTGGTGTTTTGTTGGCAACATGGGTGTGAATTTTTTCCCGTTTCTCAAACCACTCTATCACTATTTAACCGGAAAGTACTCCTTTTCCTCGTGGTACACGCCGTACAAGTCCTAGTAAGCATTACATGATTTAAATTATCTTCAAATTTGAAATGTCTTTAATTGGAGTGGCAAATGTTTCAAAAATAGCATGTGGCATAATGTGACATACACGCCATCAGGAATGGCAACTACATTAGTTGGTCAAGAATTAGGTTGCGTTTGTGCCATCTTGTTGTCGTCAACCTATCTATCATTATACGTGAGTTCATGTGTGTACATAAGTGCAATGTTGGAAGATGTTGCAAAAACCGTAAAGAAATTGGACGAATTGCCGATTGGATTGCCAAAGACACACACAAAAATGAAAATCCAATTTATTGATATGCTCGAATTACACGTAAAGGCAATATCGTAAGTAACGTTCTTCAAAAAACGACAATTGAACGTATTCATATAATTTTCAATTTATTTTAATTAAATAGAATTCGGAATGAAGTGGCTAGCTTGGTAAGCGCATATCTTTTTGTAAGCATATGCAACTGTGTTGGCGCATTGTGCACTCTACTTTTTCAATTACAAGTGGTTCGTAGAAAATGAGCAAAATACAACCTAAATTTTCATTAAAAACGATTTTTAATTCCAAAAATCTAGTCGGCGTCAAATCTCTCGATAGAAGTGTATCAGGCAATTGGAATCGGTTCGTTGATGGTTTTATTCCTATTCTTGTTCTGTTATTTTGGTGAATTGGTTACTGATCGTTCTCTAAAGATTGCAATAACAGCATATTGCGATACTCTTTGGTACAAGTATCCTATGAAAACTCAACGATATATTCAAATGTCGATTCGTTACTCCTTAACTGAATTTCATTTCTCCGGATTAGGACTTATGTACATGACAATGGCAAGCTTTTCAGGTGTTAGTATTTTCAAAATTCAAAACCATTTATCAAATTCAATTTAAAACATCATTTTTATTCTTCTAGCTGGTGAAAACGTCTTTATCCTTTTTTATGCTGTTTAGAAGTGTTGCGTGAATTATTGGAATTTCAACGTTCTGCTTGAAAAAACCACCGAATTTTATCTTTTACTAAATTTAACACTAAGATTAACACGCTATTCATGGCCCGTGACAATAGAAAATGAAATATTCATTATTTTTGTCACTCAAAAAAAATGTTCACTGCCTAATAATCAGAGATTGTTTCTCAGAGAAATAAGTGTGAGAAGGACTGCTCTGAGAAGTTGGAGGAGCAGGGGAAGGAGATTCTCAGTGCTCGTCCGGTTTTTCAGAACGCTTCCTCACACACATATTACTCTGAGAAACAGTCCCTCTTAATAATTGATGGGACAATTATGAAAAAAACATCAACAGAATGGAAAACCCATGCAACAAAAAACCAACATATTCAATGTATGCAAAATCACATAGCTTTGAAAAGAGATAATATACAGAAAAAAAAATCGGTAATAGATGGCGTTATTCACAGTGTATAGATGGTTTTATGTTTTGCTAGAGGCCATAGATAAGCCGTAACATGAATAAAAAAGGGGAAATTCAATACACGTACAACAGAAATATGTATATTAGTTGTTTTGTTTTTATTTTTCAGCAAAAAATCACATTTGTTAAATCTAAGAATTATTAAAACACCGAAAGATCTTGATAATATTGCTATAAATCTCATCCAATCTAAAAAAAATGCAATATGCCGATTTATATCGGCGATTAAACCAAATACCGCCACCAAAAACAATTGAATTGAGCAAGCGCGCGCAATCGCACACTGACACATTTCTTTGTGTGTATGCATGACAAAATAAAAATTATCCTTCTATCTTTATATAGTTTTGATACAGAATATTGTTGACTTGACATATTTGCGTTTTGAATATGCGTGTGTATGCGTGTGTTGTATATAAAATGTTATTTATTGCACAAATACTGGATTCGAAAGAAAGCTCTGCAGGCTATTTAATTTGTTACACATATTCGCTGCTAGTTTCGATTTTCTCGTCGATTCCCAGAGACGCGATGAGTACATCTTCGATATCAGTGCGTGTTAGTTGAGTGTTAAGAGAGAAAAAATATACAAAGAATTATAACAATTCAGTGATTTTCAAAATCCTTGACTCAATTAAAACTAGAAATCATTTAAAACGTAGTCAAAGCAATCTAAAATGTTTATTGATTGGTGGCCAAATGAAGACATTTTAACTAGAATATAAAGCGTCAATGTTGTTTATTCAAGCACTTCAGAATAGTCAATTTCTATTGATTTAACGAAAGCGATTACTTTATCTGCATTTTTGATTTTTTGGTGAAGTTCAAATGAGTCAAAGTTCGTGAATTACCTCTGGTGCCAACAGCTTATGTTCTTTTTTTGGAAAGTAGGAGTGTGTTGCGTGACGATTGGAGGAAAATAGCAAACAATATTTTTTTGTGCTTAAACCACATCGTATTGATCGAATTATAAAGACACTAAGCCAGACACTGAAAATTGTTTTTAACCTGTTATTCTAACTGAAAAAAAACTGTGTTTACACCCAACAGAATCATAACAATCAAACACGCAAACTAAGTTGTATTTTGGTGTTGGAAACTTAATTTGAGTCAGATCCCAAAGCGCAACACAATATAGCGGGTGTGAGGAATCCACCAAGGCGTTGTTGGACGATATGAAAGTAACCACACATTGAATTGATTCATTGTTGGACTGAATCGAAAAGTGTGTCATTTTTAATTTGTACTCAATTTGTTTTGCCTGTAAATTGTTTGTGTTTTAATAATTTTTACCCACCCACCTCTATTCTTTCGACGACTATCGTATTCACTACCTCTTTACTCGAATGACTGCAAAACCAAAGCATTTCACTTGTAATACCATTGAATAAACGAATAGTGTTCTCATCTTCCTGTCATTGCTATCGCCTCAAGAGATGCTGTCCCAATTTATGATCTGATTTATATGCTTCTAATGTAATTTAAAGTGAGCTAGTGTTTTTAATTTTGAATGACGTTGATGTGTTTTTTTTTCATTCTCAACGAATTACGTCGTAACATTTACAATGTTTCAATTACACAAACAATAACAACGACTTTTCACTTTGTCAGAACGTTATTAATTTTAGTGCTATAATCAAATTGATTCTATAAAACATTTTTATATACAATACGTAGAATGTACAGCTACAAAGATGTACAACTCGCGTTAATGATTAGTGTGAAGAGATTTAGTGATCGTTTGGCAGTTTTATATAAATACAAATGAACATGGCCAAATTTACATTGTCAACGTGCAATTGAATTAAATGGACTCTCACGCAGCAATAATATTATTATCAAATTAATTAAGTTTTATACGACAAATTCTCAAAGAAAAGGAAGAGCTAATTAAGTGATTGTGTAAAAGCAATACTAAGAAGACCTTTTATTCACTGATTTTTATATACACATATTCATATAAGCAAACAACCTTATCCACTTTGATCTCAACAGATATTTTTGGTAAGTAAAACACTACAACAATTTGTTAATACAAATAATTGAATTAGTTTTCAAGCAAGAGTGATTCTTATTATTCGTTCCGCCTTTGTCTTGAGGAAGAACTATGGTGTGTGCTTCACTGTATCCAATTCAATCGATAATTTTATCCGCTATGTGTTGAATGGTAATAATATCTTTCTAATGAATAAAACAAATACAAAGTAGTTTCTGATTCAATGGGCTTTTCAATCGTTTCAGTCATCAAAATGCAAATGAACATTTACTCAATTCAGATCAGATTATAATGTTGAGATTTTTTTTTTTTTTTGAGTTAAATCTATGCATTCGCAAATTGAATGAGATTATTTTTAGTACAAACCAATGACATATTCGAAACATTTCCATGAAAATGCTATTCAATTTGATGGCTCATGAACGCATACCAAATTTTATGATTATTTTATTCAAATTGAAAATGTTGCCGGGTAAGTGAACATGATCGAGAATGGTAAAAAAGTGCCAATGTGATAATAAAAAATATTGATTAGTTTTCTTCTTTCCTTCAAAATAAATATTTGCGCTTCAAATGAATTACCTTTACTACTGTACTAGGATTAATTTCACTAATGGTTTATATCATTCTAATTGTAAAGAAGCGATAAGATTACTGCCTAAAATGATAAAAAAATAAAATTCACATATAGTTGGTGCTACATTCTATGTAATAAGCGTATACTTTCAACTTAGTCCGTTGCAACGGAAAACAAGTTTGCATAGAATGCAGCGCCAACTATATGTGAATTTTATTTTTTATCGTTTTAGGCAATAAATGTATGATTTTCTTATGGCTTCTTTGATGCAATATAAAAATATGAATGTAACCAAACCCTCACTGCAGACCAATACAACAGAATGTGCTACATACAGCTCGTGCTGCAATTTATACTAGTTTCTAGAGTATTTTACTCAATATTAGGTATTCAAGTTAACGACAACATGCTTACTGACTGCTCTAGTAACTGATAGTAGTAAGTGAGCAATACAACACCACACAGTTCAACTGAATGAGCAATTTCCATGCAGTACTCTCTATAGACATTCAGAAAAAATATAATTGTACATGAAAATGTAGAACAATTTTTTAAATAATAATCCAATAAAATAGACAAAGCCAACCCCAACCATTCATAGGGTTGAAAATCACAAAATTATACTTCATTTATAAGTATCAGTTAATGTTCATGCACAAACACCGTATCAATAGCGTACTAATAAACGTTGGACATTGAATAATACTCATACTGAGTAAACTCTTGCAACAAGCTGTTTTATGCATTCCAAATCACTAGCATACGGTATCAGCTGAGCGATATGTGTGTTGTTTATTTCTTAGTTTTTCCCTTTCTACAATTCTCAAGCCGAGAGAGTTCCGCATCATGTATACATTAACTCACATACCATAGTAGACAATGTATACCACACATGTACACATCTATTTGATGTTTGTGTGAGCATAAACAAAGTCTGATTGACTCAGTGCGTTTGCTTTATTCAGTTTTAATCAAGTGGTCGAGGCATTCACACTTTCTCTTCTACGTCTCTTACTTTGTAAATTGTAAATTGTGTATTTTATACTTACTGACTTGTAATTTTGTTAACATTGTGTACCATACTTGATGATGTTAATGTTAAAAATGTTTTGCACAAGCATGCTAATACCGTTTAGAGGGAAAAAAATTGTCTGATTTATTCGATTACCAGTGATTGAATGCAACAAATGAAACATTATTCACTTTGATGATAGATTTCAAACATATATTCATCGAATATTAAATCAATTTGGATGGATAATATTTTCTTGCTAACAATTTCAAATCAAATAAGTTCGGATATCCATTTGTTTGAGAGAGAATAAAATGAATAGAAAATTGAGAGCGTGGAAAAACAAAGATGAAGGTCAATAATAGTTTGAGTGATGCAAAATCCATTCACGCCATAATAGAACACTGCATTTTGAAGCTGTGCAACATTTACCGTTTCATGTATCGTTTTAATTAAATGCTTCTAAAATGTATTATTTTTATTAATCGTGCTTGTGGAAACGAAAATGTAACTTAGAAACTTCATAGAAACACGTCTTTGTATCGGCTTATGAATCTTTCAATATCGATCTAAAGTAAATCTACTGTACTAAGAAATTAAAACATCATTTATATCTTATATCAATGGCTAAAACTAAAACTAAACAACAAGTTAAAACTTAATTAATTATGAATTGAGAAGGGATAAGTAAAATGAATTTGTTGAAATTGAAGTTGATCTCTGAAAACTCTTAAAAGTCATATGTTGCGCTGCTATTTAAATTCAATATTACACTTAACAAAATCTCAAGTTTCAATGTCAACGATATATATATATATATAGTGAAATAGATTTTAGTTTTATCCTTTTTTTAAAAACTGTTGTTGAAGCCTGCGTGTCATAACTAAAATTAGTTTTGAAAAAAGTGATTTTTCATGAAAAACAGTCCAAAACAAACTCTCGAGAAATTAATATCTGGTCAGACGGAAAATAAAAAATACCAATGAATACATTTTGAAAAAAGTTTTACAAGTCGAATGAATAATTGAATATCTTCTCCAAAAGCCCTCTATTTTATACCTACCAAATTGATATATTACATTTTGTCGTAAGATTCCACACAAAAATAAGTAAGTGCACGAAATGTCATCAAATACGAAAAAGCAGCAAATTGCCAAACGGCAATCCTTTGAGTTGGAAAGTTTTCTATTGCACAGTACCGAGTAAGTAGGAAGAACATGTAGAAGAATATTTTCAAATTTGTAACTTGGATTGGGAATTTCAATTGAGGTTCAAGCAAAAGTTCAAATCGCTGTAATCAAATAACAGAGAATAGAGCAAGTCCACTTTATGCATAGATGAAGTTAATCTAATGAAGTTCAAGACCTATTCTTTACATTCATTGATCATTTTCAAAGATTATCATTATTTATTATTCTATGCCACAATCAAGTAAATATAGCATTAAAAAACTCCCACTCTGGACAAACCGTTGGACGTCCATTATTTGGTTAATATAATGAAAGTCATCGCATGCGGCATGCCTTTTTATTCCCCTTGATAAATATGAAAAAAAAAAAAAAATGAAATTACAAACCACAAAATATCGCCGATAACAGAATGCAGTGCATAATGTAAACAAAGCTCGTTTTATTATTAATTTCAAATTGCATCAAATGTATTTAAAAATCAGATCAACATGAGAGTATTGCTATATTCATCCAAATTGAGAGTTGTATGAGATCGCGTGTTGACTTAAAAAATATCAATCGTAACACAATATTGCGTTATATTAGTCTACCAACTGTGATGAATTTTATTGTTATTAACAATATTGTGTTGTAATACAATATAGGAACAACAGTGCAAAACAATTCGTTTGGGTTTCACTATTCCGACAATAGCAAGGTTAACTGCCATAGACGCTATCATATCGATGTCTTTCATTGATTGTCGTTGGTGTCACCATTGCCAATGTTCTTGTGTAATTTACTTTGAATTAAACAGTTAATTAAAGATGAAAAACGTAGTGTGTATCATCAAAAACGCATCAAAGTGTATTTTTACTGCAACCGCAAATCAGTTTTTTCGTTAAAAAATTATGCGATGAAATCCAAATGATCTCAAAATTTGGTTAGAAATTTGGAAAAATAACGTTTTAATGAATGTGATCAAAAATTTCTACGGAAAACGGTTAAAGATAAGAAATTACATAACGAAAAAAGAGTCTTTGATTAGCACCAATTAAAACCGGCTTAATGTCGATCAAAAATGTTTACTCTATTTGATGTATTCTTAAATACAAGCTTCCTCATTAGAAAGGCAAATGTAATACAACTTTAATTGAACCGCACTCCACGATACTAAATTTCAATGTTTCAACATTGAATTAAATGCTTTTATCATGACATCAAATAAAAAACACACAATACAGTTTATATTCTCTTAGACAACTGTTTCATTCAGAGGCGAATCCACCGCCTTTAGTGTTGTTCTTTCGTCTTCCACGTGATAAGTCGAATTGCGAAAACCCATTTACTTCAATACAACAAACACCTTGAGTTCTCTTTGTGACGCTCTGATCAAAACATACGTTAAAAGCGTTTTTTCGCAAAAGCACTTAATTTCATTTCAATTTTACCATAGAAAACCTTGGACGATGGATAGCGATACCGAAGCGCCAAAAGATCCTGGCGTTATCAATCAACGATATACAGAACAGGACTATGAAGGTAAGGTTGATAGTGGAACAGGTGAATGGAACAATGGAATAATTTACTAAAACAACATTTGTAGGCCATCGTGCCCATACAGTTTTCTTTGGAGTCCATATGCCAAACAGCCGTCGACACTCGCATCGACGACACAAACATCATCATAAAGAAGGCGACAAAGTTTCGGAATACGATCGACCAAGTAAGCAATAATAAATATCACTGTACACATGTATTTTCAAACAAATTTCAAATGAATTTCCATTGAAGTAAAAAAAAACAAAAGATGTAAAATTCAATGGAAATGATGTTGAAAAATTGTTTGTATTGGATAACATATTGTTTTATATCACAGGGTCAAATTCTGTTATCGGACTTACACGGCGCCGTGTTAGCATTACTGATGAAGGAGGCTGTAAGATTTGACAATCATTAAAGAAAATTACACAAAATTGCGTTGCGATAGGCAAAGCTCTTTCGTTTCCTATCACTATCGTACATTTATAATTTTCTTGCGTTTTTAATCATCTTCTTGGCATGCAAAAAAACAACAACTAACCACTTAAGATTTCTTCTTCTAACGATTGAAACAATAATTCGCAATTCATTGAAGATGTTTTTTATGCTTTTGTGTAACTATTTCTTTTACGAAAGCGCCTTTTCATTTTACGAACAAACATCTCTTCCGTTTTCGAGCAAATTTTTTCTCAATATTTTATTTCCTCTGTGTTTAGCAGCTTCATTCATTCTGTTGAATAGTATTGCACAATATGAGGAAGTTTTGAATGAATTGTTTTTGTTTTGTTATTTCAGTAACTCCCCCAGCGCATCGTGTACAATTTATACTTGGTGAAGATATCGATGATGGTGCTGAGTCGCATCCGCTCTTTTCAGAGATGGAGGAATTGGTGAAGGATGGCGATGAGATTGAATGGAAAGAGACTGCCCGATGGGTAAAATTCGAAGAAGACGTAGAAGAAGGCGGTGATCGTTGGTCAAAACCTCATGTTGCTACGCTATCATTACATTCCCTATTTGAATTGCGAAGCTTGTTGACAAACGGTACTGTTATGCTTGATATGGAGGCAAGTAATCTGGAGGAAATAGCCGATTTAGTTTGTGATAACATGGTGAATGCTGGCTCGTTGCCATTTGCATCCCGAGAAAAAGTACGCGATGCATTGCTGCTACGCCATCGACACCAGCACGAGCGAGAAGCCAAAAGGAAAGATAACATGAGTCGTCTACCAATTATCAGGAATCTGGCCGAAATCGGACGCAATCACTCGTCTTCAAAAAGTATGTTGAATCATTTCACGTTTATTCTGCTTTCATAACCACTAACAAATACTTTAAAATAACCTGTTTATGTTTGTTATGTTAATTTGAGTTTCATTTATGCATTTGAGAGTGAAATCGCGTAATAATTCATAACATTCTTTGAATTTTGTTTTATTAATATTATTATCATTTTATGGGGTCAAATATTCAGAAAGCCCATACATTTTATTTTTCAAATGAATAAACATTTAATTTCGTTTCCATTTTGGGTGTCCATTTTGGTTGAACAAATGACATTACTAAAACTGGTCTAAAATAACTCACATTCATGACTACTAATTCAATACACCAACAACAAAAAAAATCATAAAATAAAATGCGTGTGTAGACCTACAGCAAGCCAGCAAGCCAGCCACATCTTCATATTCATTACATTTAAACGATACTACGGCTGATATCGATGACATCATTCCATCTCAGCAAACTGCTCAATTGAGTGGCTCTAAAAAAGATGCACGTGGTCTATATCTCGCTGTTCCAACCACAGGTAGATTATTTCATTTGTCTCGTGTCTCAATCGATGTACCAAACTCACCAATTTAGCCTACATACGAAACATATTTTCAATGAATATACGAAATACACTAACACACGCACAACACTACACACCGCAACGACGACACAGTAATATGTCAATTAAAATTAGTATTACAATAGTTTTATGATAGTGTACATTAGAATCACTGCTGAAACATTAAACATTACACATCGCACACTCATACATTTCAGTCAAATCTGAAAAAATTGTTGGAACATGCAAACATATGCACATGCAAATCCCAAGTACAGTCATGCCTTTTGCGCCAAATCAACTGTCACTCAAATCGACACTCCTTCAAAGTTTATAATGCATTAGTTTTCTCGGAAGATTTTTCTTTTATGTTATATACTTTTTTTTATGATAAGTGGTCACTGTTACGTTTGTCTCTCGAAAAAAAAAGATCCAAATTTCATTTGGAGAAATGACTTTTGAACATGGTAAATATTTGTCCGAAATACAGTTTTTCAACATCGGCTTTGTATTAGTTCATACATTTGCGTTTCATGATAAATGAGAATTTTGTTCCAATCGTCATTCTCGACGATATTTGCAGGTGACATGAACACATTCCAATTGAACAACATTGGCGTCACAACGTGCTTTCATGCAGGTGCCACAACTTCCGATGTTGCAAACATTCCAAGCACTTCATCATCATCCCAACTTGCAATGAAAGGTTTTACTTTCGACGTTCTATTCTTTTTTCCTTTGTCTCTTTCTCTCTTCTCATTTTTGTGTATCGTAAATAGACACATTTTTGGTCTGGTTGAAACATTCGTTCTTTTCAAATAAATGTCTACCCACTGAAACTCACTGTCTCTCGTTCTCTTAATATGTAGTTGATTGTTTATAAAAAAAAATATTGCACAGAATTGCATTCGAAGAAACGCCAGTCAAAGCACAAACGGGAAATATATTTTTTAAGAATGGAATAAGAGTTATTTCTTTGAAAGAACGGCAAAATCACTGATTCTTTGGTGTAATCATACATTGACTATAATTATTTAAATTGTTAAAAGAGGATGTTGAAATAAAGGATGTAAATTGTCAATTTCAACTGGTTTATTTAAGCTATTTTTAATTGGATAAAAACCAGGATACTTCGGATTTTGTCGGTCAAATAATTCATAATTTAAATTGGATTTTTTTAATTTCACGCTTTTATGAAGATGGAAAATGATTCATAAAATTAACATGAATACTATCCTCCTTATAATCTTTACCAGTTTAGTGGTTCTGACTGAGTAGGGTATGAGGGGATATTTGTAAAAATTACAAAATATATTTCTCAACTTGTCATGGCTGTTGAAACATTTATTTGTTCTCAATTCCTCTATCTTCATTCACGAATCTATAAAAATTCTATCAGTATTTACATGTTCCATAAATAAACGACGTCCACATTTTCCCACCAAGTTATCGATTTTGTATTTAGCTTCATTAAATTTTGATGCACTTTACTGTTAATTTTAAATTTATTTTTATCCGAAAAATACTTTTTATCGTTGCATAAAAACGATTAATTACGTCGATAGTTTCATTCCCTACCGACGTATATTGGATCATTACCGTTTGCATTATCTCGTTGAATTCGCAAAAAGAATTTATTGTTTGAAATTAATTATTCTAGTGATAGACGATCAACAAAACAAGTCCGGCTTAACGCCGTCACCGTCGAATGCATTTTCACCACCAAACTCAAATGCAGATAGCACAAGTGGAATGAAACTTTTAATGGTTCCTGGTCAAAATGCTCAAATTGGTAGCTTTTCATCGGGTAAAACACACGCATTCGATATATGTATAGGCTGTTATTTATTTGAATGAAATTAGAATATCTTGAGTACTTTAGAGCGACCAATTACTGGGAATTCTATTGTTTTATTGATTTGAAAGAAAGAAAATATTAAATTGCTACATATTTATAATTTCCAGTTATTGGACACCAAAAAAAAATACTCTGTGTGATTATTGTTGTTGATTAGCCGCTCGTAAAAAATTAAACACTATTTCAATTAGTTGAAATAGTTTAATGGTCACTTTACCGACGTATCAAATGATAAAAAATTATATATTTTTCTATAACCAATTGGAATGATGTTTTAAAATTGTAACCTATTCAAATTAATTTTCACCTATTTTCTTCAAATTTTTATCACTTGAAATCACTTTATGAACCGCTTTTTATTTCAAACTAAACAAAATATTTGTGTTGCTCCATTGAAAATGTTTATAGTAGCTTTGAGTTTTGAATGCATGCTCTTTTTGCACGAACTTAATTGGATGCTGTTTTAAAAACGTTGAATGATGACTTAATTGTCTTTTCTGTTTGATCATAAAATAATTACGGTTTTTTCCATGCTTTTATGATGTTCAAAACAAAAACAAAGGAGATGAAATGGTTAAAAGTCCAAGCAGTATGTCGATGCCTCGTAACGCTAGTTCCTCTGAATTGCAAAATGGTTATGATCCGCACAAAAACAATACACATTTCATGAAGAAAATCCCTCCCGGCGCAGAAGCCTCAAATATTCTCGTTGGTGAAGTTGAATTTTTGGATAAAACATTATCAGCCTTCCTCAGACTCAATAAGGCCTCAATTATGGGAGACTTAACTGAGGTTCCAATTCCCACAAGGTACATCTTTTAAATAGATTCGATGATTAAAAAGGGATCTCAATAATGAAACAACTTAATTTCTTTCTGTTTATTTAGATTCTTATTCATTTTGCTTGGTCCAGTCGGTAGTCACGGCAGTTTTCATGAAATCGGAAGAGCTATGGCTACTCTAATGTCAGATGAAATATTTCATGAGGTAGCTTATCGAGGTAAATATACAATACTAAGGTTCTATTACAATGAATTTTCATTCACCTCTCTGACTTACAAACGTCTAGCTAAGAAACGTGATCATTTGTTGGCTGGTGTTGATGAATTTTTGGATGCAGTAACAGTACTTCCGCCAGGTGAATGGGATCCAACGATACGTATTGAACCTCCAGCCGCCATTCCCAGTCAAGAAGTGAGAAAACGAAAACCGCCAGAAAAACCCAGTTCAAAAGAATTGAATCACGAAGAAGACGAGCAACGGCAAAGAGAAGAATCGGGTTTAGGTATCGTCACGTGTTCTTTATATCAACAATAACTTTTTCATTCAGCAAAATATTTTATCTTCCAGTGCGTAGTGGTGAATTGTTTGGAGGACTAAAAAATGATTTGCGTCGCAAAGCACCGTTTTATTGGTCGGATTTTAAGGATGCGGTAAATAGTCAATGTATTGCATCGTGGATATTTTTATACTTTGCCTGTTTATCACCAATTATTACATTTGGTAAGAAATTTAATTTTCAAATAATTACATTTCCGCTGAGAATGATCTAAAAACATTTTTTTTTAAATATTGTAGGAGGTTTGCTAGGTGCAGCAACAGGAAACAATATGGCTGCGGTACATCTTATTAATAAAATCGATAATCAAAAGGGGAATTCAATAATGAAATAATTTAATTTTTCGGTTTATTTAGATGGAATCACTTGTGTCTGGTTTTATTTGTGGCATCGGTTATGGTTTCTTCTCTGGCCAACCGTTGACCATTCTCGGAAGTACAGGTCCGGTGCTTGTGTTTGAGACAATCGTTTACAAATTTTGTTTGGCCGCCGAGTTGGACTACATGTCGTTTAGGTTGTTTATGCCAATAATTAAACAATGTGCAAATGTCCCAGAAAAAAGGCTTATTCGTTTATATTTCAGATTTTGGATCGGCACTTGGATTACAATCGTTCTTATAATTATGGTTGCGATAGATGCATCGGCTTTGGTTTGCTATATCACAAGATTCACTGAAGAAAACTTTGCCACATTGATTGCTCTGATCTTCGTCTATAAGGTAAATTTGAATTCACAAAACCGAGGTGATTGACCAATTTCAGTCTGTTTCTATATTTGTGCAATTATTCTTATTCATAGGCAATTGAAAATGTGCTATCGATTGGAGCAAAATATCCAATAACGTCATCGGACGAGATATATGATTGTGTTTGTCAATCTCCATTCGATAAATATGATTTCAGTTGGGCAAAATACACGAGCGCTCAATGTATTGTAAGTAATGTTCAGCGAATTGAAATGTCTTCCCCTCCCATCTCACCACCTATATCTAACTTTTCCAATTCATTCTGTTCGAAAGGCACTTAATGGTACACGCGTCGGAACTGACTGCGACAAACCGGAACCAGTAGGGAATGTTTTCCTTATGTCGATTGTTCTGTTCTTTGGAACATTTACCACATCAGTAATTTTAAAAGACTTCAAGAATGCTCTATTCTTCCCATCAAAGGCAATAAATCACAATACAATTTAATAATTTTATTCAAAACATTTAAAATTAATTTTTGACTCTTTAGGTCCGTCAATTAATTAGCGATTTTGCTGTAATTATTGCCATATTTTCAATGACAACATTGGATTACTATACCGCCATACCAACACCAAAATTGGATGTACCATCGGATTTCAAGCCAACCATAAGCACACGTGGATGGATAATATCTCCTTTTGTAAATCATTTCTGGTGGTGGATAATTGCATTTTTCCCAGCATTGCTGGGTGTCATTCTCATTTTTATGGACCAACAAATAACCGCAGTAATCGTCAATCGAAAAGAAAACAAATTGAAAAAGGGCTGTGGATACCATTTGGATTTGTTTGTATTAGCAATTCTCATTCAGATTTGTACAACATTTGGTTTGCCATGGTAAGAAATCGACTTCTCAAAGACTATAAGTAGTTTCTTATATTTTGCGCTGTGAATGATTTAAATAAAAAAAACTTTTTTCTTCATTATAAATGAAGGTTTGTCGCTGCCACAGTACTGTCAATCAATCATGTAAACTCATTAAAACTTGAATCGGAAACTGCGGCCCCAGGGGAAAAACCACAGTTTTTAGGTGTACGCGAACAGCGTGTGACTCATATCTTCATCTTTTTAACCATCGGAGGCAGCGTTTTTCTTACACCACTTCTTAGCCATATCCCCATGCCTGTGTTATTTGGAGTATTTTTATATATGGGTGCCGCTTCGTTGAAAGGTCTTCAATTATTTGATCGCATCTTGATCATGTTCATGCCCGTCAAATATCAACCCGATTACATGTTCTTAAGACAGGTTACTATCGAAATCAAAAACTTATTTTCAATCATTTTCATTTTATTTCTTCTTTTTTTATAGGTTCCACTGAAACGTGTTCATATCTTTACATGCATACAGTTTGCGTGTCTTGTGGTTTTGTGGATGATTAAATCGTATTTCTATACTTCAATTTTATTCCCATTGATGTTGGTTGTAATGATTGGCATTAGAAAGTCATTGGATTGTCTATTCACTCATCGTGAATTAAAAATTCTCGATGATATTATGCCCGAAATGACGCGGCGTGCGGCTGTTGAAGACATGCATAATTTAGAAGAGGGAGAGGTGAGTTTTAAACAAATTTTCAATTAAGAATTTCTAACATTTTTGAATGCAAAAAAACAGCCTTTTAATTGAATAAAGAGCAAAATTCAGACACATCGTTCAATTCAATGATTAAAAATCCTGAAAACTATCTCACTGTGAACTATCCCACTTTGAAATTTCAGCAACAAGACCAACCACCACCATATCCAGGAGATTTAGAAATTTCGAACGCAAAGCTATCATTAATCATACCATCGAAGCCAATCAATATCACCGAAGAGGTAAATAAAACAACCATTTGGAAGCAAGTAAATGAAGGAAAAAATGACCACAATACAAAGAAAATAAACATACCGAAGCATACAAAAAGTTCATCGTAAGTATCAACTAAATTTGGAGCATTTCAATTCTCCTTTTATTTCAAATTCGATAAAATTATTTAGGTCCGGCGAGAAAAAAGGAGATCGAAAAAATTTAAGTCCAAACAGTGAACAACGCTTGACAACAATGGCCGAAGAGGAAGAACACGGTGAACAAACCAAAAAAACCACATCACAAAATTTATCTCAGGTTTAAATTGAAAGACACAAAATATGATAATTTGGAACATTTACTTCTTTGCTCATGAGTTGTATTTATTCTCTATAGTTATTTTTTGTTCGAATGCTAAACATTTATTGCAATTCCTATCAAAACTATTATGTGCCAAATGTGAACAAAAAAAAGCACATATTAAAGAATAGTGTTGCTTTTCCTGCACAAATTAAGATTAAGAAAAAAAACAACATTTTTTGCCGGGAAATTGGTTACATAAAATAATTTAGTTTATATTAATTTTTAATTTTGTTGTGTCCTATACAATTTACTCTGTAAATTGATTAAGTAGAAAGTATGAGTATTATCATAATGTCATAAGAATTGGAATAAAACTGTAGCGATGTTTTCGTAATTTTCATGTTCGATACGGTCAGTGTAAGTGTTTGAGAGTGGATTATTTGTTCGAAAACATGTTTTCTATCGTTTAAACCCGATTAATTCAATTCGATGAAAGAAAAAATTACGAATGTTGAACTAAATATTGAATAGATTGTTGGAATTCATTTTTGTTTTTGTTTTGCATATCGATTATAATCCATTTTAAGTGAAAAAAATACGTCATTTTAATTTGTAGAAAAAAAACTAGTTGCTTGAAATGGAATGAAAGTCATGCATACACTAGTTAAATTTATATGTCAATTATTTTGATAGTCAAACCATCACAATATCCATAAACGGTTGTTTTCTCAAAATATTAGAAAAAATCCCCGTTTGAAGAAACAAACAAACAACAAAAACATGTAACGCTAAGAGAAATGTATCAAAGATCTTTGAATTGAAAACCTCAATAAATAAAACGCTGATTTTAATGACAGTAATTGCACCCTTCTTGCTTATAAATTGTAAATACACAATTTTCTTAGATTTTTCTCAAAAATTTAGTTGAATTTTGTTCGATTTTATGGTGTGACATTCACACAAGCATTTCTTTTCGCAACTTTCAGCCAATTTCAAAGCAGCTACAATGGTTCAAGGGCAGTTTCAACAACAAAAACTCAAAAAGTGAAGAGACCAGAGTTTAAAACAAACAAACAAAAATCACACGTTTTTTATTTATATAAAAAAAAATCATAATTTACAAATTCGATATATTTTCGCTTACTGTTCAAAATTAATAAAAAAAAACACACATAAAAAAGATTGTTTTCAGCATAAAAAATTACATTTTAAATAATTTCGTCTAATATTTGGCATTATTGATTCATTTGAATTGAACCCGAAGGTGATTGACTTGATTTATAAATCCATCCATGTTCTTGAAAATATCGTTCAATTTCAAGCAGTGTTTTTCCTTTTGTTTCTGGTACCATAAAATATACCAAACATGTAGTTGCCAAACTTGCCAATCCAAATACAAATATTACACCAGTTAAACCGAGAAGACTATTAAGATTTGGAAAAAATTTATTCAATATAAAAGTCACTACACTAAAATACGTGTAGATATAACCAGCTAAGCGGCCTGCAAGAAATAAAAAAAATATTTATTATTTGAATTTATTTTCTTTTAAAATTAAGCTAATGATTATAGTCATCACCTCTAATTTTCGCGGGCAATAATTCACCGGTTAAGAAACCTAACATTTAAAAAATATTTTTATTAAAATTCATTTTATAAAAAGAAATAAAAGTAAATGTAACCTGGCGTAATCATGAAAGCAGTATTTGTCGAAACGTAAAGTAGGAGTAAGGATCCAGCAACAAGTAATTTCAATGTTTCGCTTGCAAATTGACCTTCAAAATGTAAGTATGCAGCCAAGATAAGCGTGCTACAGGTGGAGCCAATGCCCGCGATCAGATATATAGGTCGTCTTTTGATTTTTGTAAACAACCAACAAAAAACAATGGTAACTATTAATCTAACAAGTGATATAATAACACTCGCATTATGTGAACTGATTTTTAAATGAACTTGGTCCAGAATATCAATTGCATAGTATATCAACAAATAAGTTCCCGATAAATTGAAGAACAAAATGAATGCGAAAATGATTACAATGGGTTTTAAAACAGATGGCTGAAAAAAATCTCGCCACGAATTGTTGTTTTGTGCTGCTTGATTGGCTTCATTTTCTTGATTTATTTGAGATAAATGTTTGTTCAGTTCGTTTCGAGCAATGTTTTTATCACCACGAAGCCAAAGAAAACTCTTGTATGCTCGTTCAATGTTTCCGCTTCGAATTAAAAAAATTGGAGACTCTGGTATAAGGGCAATACCAGCCAATGTTATAATCGGAAATATAATTCCACACCATGCTAGATGGCGCCAACTCATTGCAGCACCCAGTGCAAAAGTCAAAAGGAACCCTGTGGATAATGTTACATATCCCAGATTAATTGTTACACCACGAAATTCAGCATCAGCAGTTTCGGCCAAATAAATCTGACAAATTGGCGGGCCAAACCCTCCACAAACACCCAAAACTATTCGACTCAGAAATAGAACAAATTTAGTTTGGGCAGATGCCAGGACAATCCAACTTAATATCAGAGGTATTAGTGGTGTTGCCAATGTAATCTTTCGACCGTATCGATCCATCATAAAACCACTAATTAGTGATCCAATCGGCGATGCCACACTGAATGTGCTTGTGAACCAGGGTTCTTCATCTTCGGTCATTGAAATTGTACCATTTTCTTTTCGTAATTCTGGAATAATTAAAGCAGGAAATGCCAGGCTGTGGGCTAAACTTATCATAACCGGTGTCACAATGGTTGTCAAAAGAATCTAAAAAAAATAATTGAAAAATGAACAAACATTTTCGGATGTCAAACTTTCATTCGATGATAATGATACTCGTGTGTAAAAAATGATTAAATATGTGTTCACTCACTTGACGATAAAGGCCTGTTTTGGTTGACTTTTGATTCGTTTGTTCAACTGTATTATCACATTTTTCTAATAGTCCACTATATGTAGCGTCTGTAGTTTTTTCATCATCTCTGTGAATATCGCTCGTTATTAAAATTAATATGTGCAATTAAAACTGCATCAAAATGAACCTACTCGGTATTTTTATGATTGTCAGCCATTTCGAAGCGTCTTCTTCTCTTATCACTCGATAAATATAAATATATAGAGATATATTTTGGTTCTCACAGCTCACAGTTCACAGTTTCTTTTATCTGACGATAGTTGAATGATATAATGTCATCTTATTAAATTCAATTTGTTCAAGATAACGCACTCAGTTCAATAGACAGCCTTCGTTTAATATGAAGTATATTTTGTATATTTGTGTGAATACCGACAGATTACATTGTTGAATAGAATGCGATTATCACTGTGATTGTACTTAAATATTTTTATGCTGGTCGAATATGTCATATTGATAACATTTATTTTAAATATTTAAACACTTCCGTATCTAGGAAACAATCAACTTTCAAAAACTGCTTCTACAAAGTGTATTATATATGGTATTATTGTATTACTGTATATTGACATTTCCATTTTCCATTGGAATGCACAGCTCTAATGTGAACGAACCCGTTCAACTGAGTGATTGCTTGTAGTTAGCATGACAGTTCACAGCTGTCACTGTCAACTAACAGAGATAAAGACGAACTGAGAAAAAAACTGAAAGTATTGAAAAAAATTGTAATCTACCAATTACAAAGAAAACAGTTTGCGCTGAGCAACCAGTGCACAAAGTACAATTTTATTGCATTTCACGCTCGTATAATATTGATGTTGGTCAGTTTTTAAGCGATTGTGAGAACAAGAAAAAAAATGAGCTTGCAAAAGTGTTTTGCATTTAGAAATCAATGAAAAATAATATTGTGATTGAAGTTTGTTCCATATTGATAAAGTTTGTGTTGACTTCTGTAAGCAATAAGTAAATTTTCTGTAATAGTTGAATATTTTAAAACCTTGAACAAACTTCATCTCACATTTGTTGTTGTGAGAAAATGAGTTCGCCACGAAATGAACAACCATTGCTGGATACAACAAGTGATAGCGAAGATGTGAACGAGGATGCAATTTCGGTAGTTAAACGCAGAAGTTTTGACGATTTTGGAAATGAATCTGGTTATGGACACAACAGCAGTCATTCAGATATTAACGACACGGATACGCATGATATTCGTGACTTGGAATCGACAGACGACTATGACGATGATACTCAGCAGTTGTTCAAGGCACCAAATACAGTTCCAGTTGATCGATTTTCTTTCACCTACATTGTCTTCTATCTGCTCGGAATGACGACACTTTTGCCGTGGAATTTTTTCATTACAGCTGAAGACGTATGTTATTTTTCAATATTCCATCTTGCCAAAATTAATATCATATTTTCACGTAATGCTGTAAAATTCGAGTGCCAACAAAGGCTCTTTTCTTTTTGTGAAATGTTATGAGAGGCAATTCATGCCAGAACGTGACTCGCATTCCAAACGGAAAACATCGATTTTTTTTTGGCTCAACATATATGAGATTTTTTTTCAATACCAACCAATGCCAAAGTATATTTACTATGAGTAATTCAATTATTACGTTGCAGTTCCAACAATTTTCATTCATGAATTTCCAAAAAATGAAATTGTTTTTATAATAAATATTGACCATGTGATACAATTTTAAATTTTGAATCAACAAGTGGTTGTTCAATTCCCAATTGAAGCTATTTTTTTGTTTGTAAAACATAAAGACGAAGAATATCGGTCAATTCAAACAAAAAACGTTGCTATATTTTTAAACTCCCGTTCCATTTCTTATCAAATATTTGGCACGCGGAATTTTTTTTGACCTTTTAATGCTATTTTCTATAGATTCATGAACTGCGCAGTTATCTCCTTTCCCATATAGTAAAATTTGCAAGCACGAGACGATAGGTAGCCTCGTGTGAAATTTCAACAATCCATTAAATTGATACGAACGCATATCAACTTGCACCCATTTTTGCGAGTCAAATGTTGTTGAACAGTCATCAGTGCATTTATTATTATGTAAGCCGAAAAAGATGTTGCCGTCATCGAAATATTATCGCAATTATTTATTTCAATTTTACGTCGAATAGTACAAAGTTAATTATCGGTCGTTTTTTGTGTGAGTTTCATGCGACGTTTTGATTTAGATTTTGATAGCCTCAGAGAATTGATGATTTTAATTAAATTTATTGATTTTTTTTGAGACGATTAGACATATATGTGGGTCAATTGAAAGATCTAAGTAAGGAATAAACAACTTTATATAATCCGGGGCCCCGACACATTTTTTTCAAATGAATTTAAGAAAAATATTCAATTACAGACGTCAAACGCACTTTATTTATACTAGATGAGCGAAGAAAATGTTAATCAAACAAGGGTCGAATAATACGCCCACATTTTTTGCTATAATTCCTTTGTTTGTTTTAATCTTTTCCGTTCCGCTGTATGGATTCTGTGTTATCTGTTTAGTTTGATGTTTGAACAGTGAGTTCATTACGTACAATATAAGTTCATAATAATTTATAGATATTGCAATGCAAATATTCAATTAAACTATATCACAAAATGCGGCAAAGTTGCGTTTAAAGCCTTGAGAACTAAGAATTGTGTATATTTTTATTCAAAAAATCTGAAAAAAAGTAAAACAAATGCAATTTTATTCATTTTAAATTTCAGTATTGGATGTTCAAATTTCGAAATGTGACAAGTAATTCAAGTGAAATCACGCCAATACAAGCAACATTCACCTCAGATCTCACTTTCTCGGCGTCCATACCGAGTACAATGTTCCTGATTTTAAATGCCATTTACGGTCATAAATTTCGATTACACTTACGAATGGTTGGATCACTGGTTGTTATTTTAATATTTTTCGCTTGTAACACCGTTCTCATCAAAGTAAACACTGACAAATGGCAAGATACATTTTTCGACGTCACCATTGTTTCAGTGGTAGTCATGAACATTGCTACTGCTATCTTATCGGGTGGTTTATTTGGTGAGTATTTTATATAATGAGTTCATTCATTTAAATGGATTAAATATGATCGTGATTGTTTGTAAAAAAACAGGAATATCCGGTCAGTTTCCATCGGAATATATAACAGCTGTAGTGTCTGGACAAGCGCTGGGCGGTGTATTTACGGCAATCATAGAAATCATAACAATAACATTTGCATCTGATCCAAGTGAATCTGCATTGATTTTCTTTACAATTGGGAATATACTTTTGGTTCTATCACTCGTTGCGTATATTTTGATGGGACGAACAAAGTTTTTCAAATATTACACAACCGATCGATCAGGTGCTCTATCGCCAAAGAATTCCCGTTTACAATTACAACGACAGCCGTCACTTGTTGGCATGGAACCGAAGTTCTGGGAGGTTATGAATAAAATGTGGCTCTACGGTTTTACAGAGTGGATGGTATGTGTAACTTTGTGTAATCTCATCTTTGTGTAATATATTGTTTTTAATTTTATCTTGATTACATTGCAGGTATTTGTGGCAACGTTGTCAGTGTATCCTTCAGTGACAGTATTAATAAGCTCTCAAAATCGCGGTCACCCATGGTAATGATTATACTCACTTTGTTTTTTTTTACATATTCAACATATCTTGTAAATTTTAATTATTTTTTCATTCTAGGAACGACGTGTACTTTATTCCAGTAACAAATTATTTGATATTCAACTCTGGGGTAAGCATGTTTTCAATTCTACTTACTTGTGCGTTTCTTATTTTAAAAAAATTACAATTTTATTTTTAGGATTATCTCGGTCGAATTTTGGCTGGTTTAATAGAATGGCCAAACGACAAACCTCATTTGGTTGCCGTGATGTCGATATTGAGAATTGCATTCCTTCCCGCATTGTTGTTTTGCAACACCACTGTCCGTCACCGATTACCCGTATTTATTCATTCCGATTACATATTTATTCTGCTGATGTGTTTCTTTGCCTTTACAAATGGTTATCTCGCCAATATTGCCATGATTTGGGCGCCAAAGTAAGTGATGCATTCAAATTGTTTAATTATACATTGCTTGAAATTTTCGATCATGTTTTTTTGTCAATTGTTTTTTTTTTTAGATCGGTGAGAAATCAAGAAAAAGAGATGGCCTCATCAATAATGGCAGCCTTTCTTGGTATCGGCTTAGCATTTGGTTCATCGATTAGTTTGGTCATTGTTCAACTGTTATAAATCTCATCTTTATGTGTGTACATATCCAAAGCTAAACATCTCATTTTAAGGTTACAGTTGAAGTTCGGTAAAAGAAGTATAACCCAAATTTGATTATGCTTATAAATGTCGTTTCAAGATCTTAATTCCAATTTACTTATGTAAATAAATAATCCAAAAATGTGTCTGTAGACAGATTTGAGGTATTGTTTAGGTAAAGAAATTCCACCAAATCAGAATCACATACTTATATCACAAATTTTAGAATATATAAGGGACCAAAATTGATTTTATGCGTAGAGAATGGTAGAAATGTGATAAAATGAACAAGAAAATCCATTATTGATTACAAATATAGTACGTAAATGAAATAAGTTGCCATTAAATATTAAAACTATAACATGTAATGAACTGTATTCATGAAATAATAAACTTTGAATGTGTGTATATGGTGTATCATTATTGTGAATATAAAAATGTTTGAAGAAAAATCCTCATCCAAAAATTAAATGAATTAAAAAGAATTTTATTTTATTTTTTTACTTTTATTTTCAAACTTCCAATAATTTGATACATTTTTTTCATTGTTTATGTTGTGTTTATACTTCAAATGTCATGTTTTCATATGTCGAATGGATTTTTTTTTTTCAAATTTAGCATGAATTGGGCAATTTTTGTTATAACATTAATATCGTTGGAATTGTTCTCATTTAAGTCCAGTGTTCAAGGTCTTATGGATTATGTAATATAATGTTTATATTGTTAAGTTTAATATAATTATTTAATAGATTCATCTAGAACTATAGTTTTTCATATAGATCTTTTTTATGTTATTTTTTTTTTAATTTTTTTTTTGTTCACCACTTATTGAGTTCAAAAGCAATGGATTGAATAAATTGATTTAAAACATTTTGAAATAAATGCTATTTCATTTTTAAACACTCTTTTGGCTAAATGTTGGCAAATGCATCCATTTCAAATGTATACTTAAATTCATTTAATATTCCATACAGTATCTGAGCCAACGGAATGGCTAATAAATGTCATCAAAACGTTTACTGAATGTATTTTTCATTGAAAGAAATTACCTCAGAGCAACACATCAAAGTAACAACCAAATTATTGCAATCCCCCTCTTTTCCTTTAGCTCCATCACAATTTAAGTGATACAAAATGATTTTTATTTGAGAAATAAAAAAAATAGTAATTTATGATCATAACAACTACGATGACACTTATAATCAGTTTAAGGAATTTATGTATTATTTATAATAGTGATGTTGTATGTCTTTCTTCTAAATATTTCCATGAATATTCTAATTAATCAAACTAAATAATAGTTTTCCCTTGATAAAATAATGATTAGGCCAAACACGAAAGCGCTTTTTTTAATTCTTTTTTTTTATTATTATTAAAGAGCAACTGGGCTGATGAAATGGTCAAGTATTCACATTTGCTAAAATTCACGGCACGCATAAAATACTTCATTTCACAGGTACACATGAATCACCATGTAAGACTCGGCCATATCTACTACATAGCCCGTAATGCTGAGTTGTCATTACTTTCAGTAGGGTAAATACATCGATAAAATGATTATACTCATCCACTGAAATGTAAAGCTCTTATAGTTTTATGAACTAAGCTCCAAATGATTCATTTATGACGTTAACGTATTTATACTTACATGGTTTCATATAAATACTTAATCGACACTTTACTACCATATCAATATTTGAATTCTGCATTAAAATATTAACCGGCCCATTCTCATTCAAACTCGTCTAAAAACAATTCAACATAAATACGTTGTCCTCCCGATTATTGAGTCGATATCTCCTTCTATTTTCTTTGCATTGTATTCCATTACAAGTACAATAAATTCATGCGAATTTTCGTTTCATTGCAAAGTGACATCAGGCAAACTAATTTATAAGATAACTTTTTTATATTTGAACATACAGCATTGCATTGACTTTTTTCTGGTTGTTTCGATTAAATTATTTGATTAATGTGTTTTACATGCACTAAACATTTATTTAACGGTGGTTTATCCGTCCGCAAACGAAATTTCTTTTTTGTTAAACAATTATAGTTTTTTTTTATTGTTGTTGTTGAAAAGATTTCTTTTAATATTATAATCTATATTGCCAAACATCAATAATATATCGTCTGTTATTTGACATCTAGTTTCATTTAAATGTAAAACATTTATAATATTGGTTATTTCTTCCTTTTCATTAATATCGGTCTCAAAGTACACACAAATGTTGTATCTAGTGTCGCAATGAAAGAAGACCATTAAAAACCAAACAAATTAACACTCAAGCATAAGGCAAACGAGGAGATATAGATGCAATCGTATTTTTATTCGATAACATATTTTCTACCATGGACTTTTTTTCATTCACGGTTAACAACTAAAGGTTTATGGACATATATTACTTATCTTTATTTATAATTATTATTGTATTATTATTTGTTTTGTTTATTAAACGAGGAAAAGGGCTGGAGAAAGGTGACGAAATTAAGGCATTTTTTTTCAAACCTATGACCAACTATTTTTCGGAAATAATTTTTTTTTGTTGCAAAGATTATTAATAATAAAAAAAACATGTTTCACATGAGTCATCATTAACCATTGAATTATAGCGAAACGTATCCGATAGCACATTGACATTTAACATCCATGTTTAATAACTGCTTTGCTTATACAGCGATGATTTTACGTAATATTCTGTTTTATATTTGGAATAAATGGATATCCGGCCCTTAGGTGATGCGAGTTCTTCATATGGTTTCAGAAATACTAATCTAAACGATTGTTTTCATTTCTAACACCGAATCATTTTCTGTAAATGACCATAGATGATGACGTAAAAAATGATGGCAAAATTCCGTAAGGGGTCCCTGGAAAAATCCATGGGGGTCCCTGATGATGTCAACAATTTGTACGAAATGAGGATAAAATCGTTTTTTTTTTCTCTTCACTTTTTTGGCGAAAATCCCTAGCAAATCGAAAGAATTTTCCTACTTCAAATTGCATTTTTTTGGAAGTCACTTTTTGAGGCGAAAATCCCTAGCAAATCGGAAGAATTTTCTCTCCCAAAAAAAGTGAAGATGAAAAAAAGGTCCTCATTTCCAAAATTGTTGAGGGTTCCTAAAAATATTTTAGGAGGGGGTCATCCGACCCCTAGAAACCCTCGTCATCACCTATGGTAAATGTGTAGGGAATTAGTTTTGTGGTAAAATAGTTCAAGGGTTAAAGTATATATTAAGAATAACAACAGTTTGAATTACAGAGTGACATTGTTTGATATAATAATATAACGATATTTTTTTTCACAAATTCTAATTAAAAATAATACTTTTTACCATTTACATTATCTTTTGCTGCCATCTGAAGTATCGCATTATCGCAAAATTGATAAGAATATGGAAAAATGGTGAATGAAGATCACATTCCATCTTAATACAATACTAAAGGTTGTCTAATAGTTGTTTCAAGATAACTTCAGATGGCGCAATGTATATGATGGAATTAAAATGTATTGTCAATTTTCCCACTTGGTGCTATGCCATCAATGTCTAGATAACGTTTCGTCTAATTATTCTAAAAACAAAAAAGAACTAAGTTGATTGTCATTAAGTCTATATTTATTTAACAAATATGAACGCTTTATGTTAATAAATCATCATATTTTTGATCGTTAAAATGTTTCCATTAAAAGCAATTTGATACTTCTTTAAAAGACACCATCAATGTTTAATCAGTTTTTTTAGTAAAAAAGGTTATTGTTAGGCTCAATTATTATTAAAAATCACTCCAGTTCTTCCCTTGCAACTGATTTCCATATTTCAAGTAAATTTATCTGTTCACATATGTCCAAATCGTTAAAAAAAACCTAGAATTGTTTTCATTATTTTAAGATTTTCCATTTTTCTTTTTATTCAATTCAAACGTGCTTTGCAATTCACCATGATTTATCTATACAATTATAATGGCGCTCAATTTTACAGACGGGAGTAGAAAATTGATAATATAAATAAGATGCATATCGATTTTGTACCAACGGGAGGGAAAACAATATGTTGATATGTGGAAAAAATTGAGTCCATTGAGAAAAAAAAAACATAATCGTAATCATAATAACGTAAAAATAAAACCATAAAAATGTTCAAAACAAAATAACAAAACACTGAATTTTTATTCATGTAAAATTTAAATTATCTGCTTAAAATGATTTTACAGAAAATATCAATTAAAACTATTTCTTTGAAGAAGTAAAATGGAATCATTGAATGAGTGTTGGAAATCGAATATACGTGTATACCATGCACGTTTTACAGTTGATTACGTCGGAGGGGGGACTGAATAATATGTATACCCGATTTTATTTTATCCGATGCATAAATTGAATTTTACTCGACGGTTTTTTCATTTCAATTTTATTTCGGATAAAATTCTCATTCGGTGGCTATTATTTGAATCGGTAAGTAACATACAATTAAAAAAATTCATTTCAAGCGCCGGTTACGGCTGGTTAAAATTCAGATGGAAAAATTTACTTTGTCCGACGTCGGGTAAATTAAAATCGAGTATTTTTCATGCAGCCGAGTGAATACAACGTTGTATATTGCACCATAGGTTTGTAGCTGAAGTCTGACAACTTTTTAAAGTTTTAAGTATAGAATTTGTCTATTGAAACACCATGACATTTTATTATTTTAAAATCACAGTCTGGTCGGTTCTGATAATCAAAAATATTCGACTGAAATTTAGATTTCTATAATATTAGTCGTACTAAGCCAATCAAATACACGATGACATTAAAATAATAAAATGCGATATTGGTGTTGGTTACTTTAATGAATCAAATGTGTTTTTAATATATTCCACATTGACAAATATCGAATTTATTTTAAAATTTGCATTAAATCTATGAATATATTTTTGTTGTGTGTCGATTTTATGTCTATTGCACATTTATACTGCGATTTGAATAGGATTTAAATTGTGGAACGCACTGATTATTGGTTTCATTTTTAATCACAATAATTTTTTTGAAACAGAAAAACTCAATACCAACAGGTAAATCACTAGAAAATTCAAAACACGACTTCGTGTTTGCAATGAGATTCAAAGAGTATTTGTTTGTTTTTTTCATGCATGTGTGTGTTGTGTTGAGAATTCACTCATGAAAAATTATCAGGAAAATATCAAAATTTGCACCTTTAAGACTCCAAATGCACTGATGTGCTTGATTTATTGTTGCTTGTATTTTCACTTGACGGACCACCATTTTCATTGGATGCATGCAACGAACTCTGCGAAAAAAGCACCAAAAAACCTTCGGAGGAAAAACACGGACGAGATTCACAATCTTTGTCCATCAATGTCTTAGCCTGTATACGGAAAAAAAAATAATTAATATTAATTTGACTAAATCAAATCATCAATTTGATTTTATTGTCGAACTGGACTTCACTCCTGGTTGAGGAGGCAAATGAAAAGACGGAGAGTGCTCCTTAATTGAAGTGGACAATGTTTTTAATCAAAAAAGCGCTCTCCTACAAAAATGCTACTTTTGATACAAACCTTTTCTTTGTGGTCATTTAGTTGATTCTTAACAGTGTCATGCTGTTTCTGTAATTCAGCCTTTTTCTTCTCGTACGCTTGAGTCAATCGGACTCGTTCAGCTACACCACGTTCAACTAATGACGAAGCTACTTCACGTTTCATTCTAAAATTGATTTTTTTTTATTAAATTAAAACTATCGCAAAACATTCCATAATCTACATCATTGCATTTACCTGACTAATTCATCACGGTCACGATGTACAAGAGATAGCGATTTAACTTCATTGCGACGCATAATGTTCAGCTGTCGCATAACATCGCTCGTTTCTTTTTCCAAACAAGTTTTTAGTTGTTTCATTTGATTTGCTTGGGATGTTCGCAATACTTTGTCCGCTGTACTATAAATAATTTCATGGTATTTCTCTTGTACTTCTTGGTAATTGGTGGAAAAGTCCCGACACACTGAAATCAGTCGTTCGGATTGACTTCGTGGTACGCCACTCGATCGTTCGCCGCTGTCAGTTTCAGCACTTTCAGTCAAATCGTTTGGACATGGAGGCACTGTCGCTGTTAAATCTCTACACACACAAAATGAAGATAACAAGTTTAAATTTCATTATAATTATATCAAAAAAAGAATAGAATTTTTTTGCCATCAATCGACTTACAAGTTTTTATTGCTAAGCCGTTTAACCAACTTATTGTTCATGTAAAATTTGGATTTACGAATGCCATCGGTTAAATCTCCACTGCGCTGTGATGTAACACGTAACTTTTCTTTGTCATGTTTTTTTCGCATCGATTCCAATTTCTTTTCCATTTCAATCCGTTTTTCGCGCACCAATTTGTTATCGAAAATTTTCTCCAATGATTCAACAACAATGTCATTGCATTCACTGAGTTCATTGGCTATTGGAATGGTGCTGCTGCTGGTGAGTGTTGCGGATGCTTTGCTGGTGGAACATGACTGATCCAGTGAGAGTTGATGTTGAATATGTTGTGTAGACGCTGTACTCAAATTCAAATCATGATCATTGCCAATCGATGCGTCCATACTGAGCGACGATGCGGCCACAATACTGGCTCGATGCTTTGGACTTGTTTGCACTACTTCAAGTGACCGCGAATCCTTCTTGGAACCTAAAGAGACAAACACAACTAAATATGATTGTATACGGTGGCATGAAATAACACATATAATTACAAGTTGTTGTTTTTTTTTAAAAAAACAAATGCATGATATTTTGCACATGAAGTGGAACATGAATGAAATTAGGAGCAAACAAAAGCGGTACATAAGATAAGCACATCACAAAACGAGTTGAACAAAGGAAAAACCCAAATGAACCACACCATAAAAGGACGGGAAAAAAAGAAAAAAAAAATTGGTTAAAACAAATTGCAACTACAGCGTAACATATTCAAAGACATTATCCAAATGAAATTTTCTGAGATAAAATCTCAATGAACACAAAATCGATAGGATAGTAGTTTTTGGTAGAATTACATGAATTGGATGCATCGTCTTCGGTTGGTTCACCATCCTCAAATACGGCCAATTGTTGGGAACGTTTTTCCAGTTCGCTTTGATATTTGATTGGATTGGCAAGTGCTTCGGCAAAATCAGACAGACCATCGGGCACATAATCCTATGATGTGAACGAAAAATGTGCCGAAAATAAGATGCATCACATGTGTAATCTTGAATTCGGCCAAAGAAACAAAGCTTACCTTAACGACAACTAAAAGAAATAGCGTTGCCAATGGAATCGGCAGGCCGAGTTCTGTGCGTAGCGTAACATGCTTATATCCTGGACATAATCCAATTACAGGTAGCACACGATGTCCAATGAATTTTCCACCTTCTTCGTAGGCCGCAATTCGAATGCTCGCCAATTCAGGTAGCACCACTTTTTTGAAAACAAACGGTTCATCATCAAAAATTGGATTGAGTGCATTATCACGAACAGATCGTGTACGAAATTTCTTGCGTACTGTATCCGCTGGCAGTCCAAACATGTCGACTTCAACATAACAACCTTATTAAAATACATATAAATTACAAACGATTTATCTCATTTCGTTCCATATATAAACGGCTAATTTGTTCTCGAAAACTCACCAACTTTCTTGTCACTCAAAAATTGTCCGGATAGTACTGTAATCGATACAGTACCAGCAATTATACCGTCAACCTATTCAAACCGAAAATGATTTAAACAAATGTAATGTAGTTTCATTTCGAATGGTAATGTGTGTGGTATTTTACCGTGCTTTCGGCAAATGGATCTAATCGCCGGTCTTTTCGTCGCATAAATTCCGGTTTCAACAGATATCCAGCCCGTTGATTGTATTCAAAAATGCCCAAATTCAATTGCATTGCCAGATCCAATGTTTGATAATTTAAAGCCACCAATTGACAACCCGCATTCCAAAATAACTGTGAGACCACAACACAAAATACAAGGAAACAGATTTGGTAAACAAATGATTCGTTATTTTTTGTCAAAATGTTGGTTATATCGTTGGTCTTATTCTATGTCATTCTCTGCTTTTTCATACCGTGTCCTATTCTAGGATACTAAATTATTTATTCAGATTCGGATTTCGAAAAATGTAATACACTTCAATTATTGTACACCTTCTGTTTGCTTCTTTTTGCAATACACTATCAATTTTCATTCAAATCGAAATTCAAACAGTGAAATTGAAAACAGTGAATTTAGCTATGTACTTTTTTATCGCCTTCAAAGTGTATGGGATCCAATACAACGTGTTACTTTGTTGTATGGCAGCCAATTCCTTTTTTTTCCTTCAAAATTTGATGATGCAATTTTTGCATCAATAGAACTCTAACTCATTCCGTCGCAGCAGAAAAGTGTCAATATGTACTTTGGAAACCAAACCCATAAATCGCATGTGTCGAAATGTGAATCATTCACCTAACTAACCATTCAAAAATGAATGCATTTGTCTGTAACCGTAACACGATTGTACAATTACGCATATTTTTCGTCCGTTGCAATGGTGATGATTTCGTTATTCGAGAAAGAATGTGTAAAAGATGTAGAAAAACGAAACGCAGGTTCCAATTAGAATGGGAAAAAAATCCCTTTCCGTTTAACTTGTATCACATTGCATTGACATGCTACAATTAACATTCACATCGGTCGTACACACACCACAGTCATCAACGCTCTTGGTTACGCTCATATCAACAACAGCATCCAATGACATTCAATATTAACCGCTTCACAACACAAACCATAAAATTATTTATGTGTGCAGCGAACTAAACGAAACTCCCATATCTCATTATCGAATCAGATAAATCTCCCACTGAAGCTGTCTCGTTTTCTAAATTGATACCAATGAATTCCATGTACTATATTTTCATGAAGCATTTCATGATGAATTCTCAGAATCGTGTCCATTTTGCTGCTGCTGAATGACCACTTGAATGCCATTTTCAGACACATTTTCAGTCTCACCGAACGGAGACCGAAACCAAATCAAATGAATAACAGGTTGAATCGAAAGATTCACGTTGCAAAACTCTGGACGAACAAAATGTGAGCGATAATTTTTTTTGTCGTAATTAAACAAAGCAATCAAAATTATAGTTTTAACATACGTCATAGTTTGGCCTATATGCATACAACATGTGTGTATGTGAATATCAAGTTGTCTGTTGACTTACCTGTGGCATAAAATTTGAACTGTCGAAACGTGTACCAGCTGGATAGACACGTGATAATTGATGTTTATTGTAATTGACAAATTCAATGGGACGTTCTTTCAGCAAAGTCGTTGCTTGTTTCTCATCGAATGACGACATTTCATAACACCGATTTTTTTCTATAATAAATTTTACGAAAAAAACAACAACAGATTTTTAAATAATTTACCAATTTCCATGCAATTTTCATTCAAACTCTTTCGCAAATTGAATTTTTCACACCATAAAATGTGTAAACGTGTTGGTATGTTCATTGACGTCAACTGGACACTATTAACTTTTCAAGCATAGTAAAATGGAATAAATTTAAATACGAAAACTTACTTTCCGAAACTTCAAAACTTGTAAAATGAACGGGTTGTACATAGTTGACGAGTGCCGAAATTTCGGCACCAGCTTCACTTTCTTTTTGATGATTAACCTTTTCGGCTTGTAGTGTTCCCAATACGGTTGGTACATTTGTAGCACCAGTTTGAGTTGATTCATCATCGCTGGAACTGTCATCGCTAGATGAGCCGGTACTCTCTTTTGAACTCTGACGCACATTCTAAAATAACAACGAAACATTTGAAACATAACAGTTGAAATACATTAAATGCATTATGGCAAATCTAAATATAAGAAGATTAAGTTTCTTTAGCTTGGATCAATATAGTAATTCGGTGTGTGACAAAAGAACGAAAACGTTCGATGGAATAACAATTGTTTGTGGTAATGTAAATGCGGAGATAATTGAATCTTTGGCATTTCGACAAAATTTTCAGAACAAGAAAGTACAAATGCTTCCGTCTTCCATGCAAAATCATTGAATGTGGGCTGATTGTTGGCATCCAACCATTTCAGTACAGTATGTTAGTATATGCCTTTTGCTAAATTCAGTTAAAACTTATTTAGATTTTCCATTCAAAAACTTTATGTTCAATTTTCACAACTCAAAGTTTTCGATTCAGATGCTGTATGTTCGATTTGACGCGAGCGCACAGTCTGTGCGCTCTGTAGATATAACTTTCCTATTTCTCTGTATATTGTGTAATATTTTTTACCTCTATCACATCGTTTGCAAGCCACAACTTTATTGTGTGCATTGAAAATTGCCACTTTTACACATGTTCGTACAATATTTGTTTTACTCGCTTAAACGCAGTATATTTCCATTTTCACAACTTCTATTTAGTGCTATAACGAAGCATAATACATTGGGACGCCAGTTCCACATCCGCAAGAAACGTGTATAACATTAGTTTGGTGGAAAAAGCTACACTCGTTGACTCTTTCAACGAATAGAAAACACCCACCTCAATTTTAGGCAAGATAACAGCAGTGCTGTTTTGGAGTTTCTTTCTGCCGTTCGGAAAAGCAGTGCAGGATAAATGTTATTACTATGGCGTGTCTGTATTTTGTATTTGCTAAGAAAAATCGAAAATTTCCACTTTTCTTTCACACCATTTGTTTTAATTTTTTTTCGTCTACAATTTTTATCTAGTGACGGCAGCAAAACAGTATGACGCAAGTATCTCGCACGAGTTGCTTTTTTAACTAAAATTAATTTGAATTTTATTAACGTCATTTATTTTGTCATTGATAATCAAATTCTGTAATTAAACCACAAGATGCTAAGAACGTGGGCTGTGAGTATATAATTATTCAATAAATTACCAACGCCTTCACACTTACGAAATACAATTCATAAACTCCATTGTAAATTGGTATAAAATGTAGATTTGACTGCGAGTTTTCTCGCGATATGTGGTTGAAATGTTAAAATATTCTGCATGGAGGAATAATTAAAACCGCTAGAAAGCCGGAAATTCTCAAATCCACTCTTTTCTCAACGCCACACACACATACAATTCGAATATCGAAGATATAAATAGATTGATTTGCATGACAAAATATTCATCGATTCAGTTTCAATCGATCAATATATGTATTTATATAATTTCTATATCTGTAACATAAATTAGATTACGTTCTTTTATCTTCTTTTCATAAGATTCATCAAACAAATCGGTCCTAAAAACGATTGGGTAGATTGTGAAAATGTTTAACGTTTCAAATGGTTTTGAATGAAAACTAGATGGAACCGCAGCAAATTGCTTTATTCATTCAGATAAAGAAATTGACACCACTGCTATAAAAAGAGCGAGGGAGCTAAATAAATAAATTGCAATTGTATAATTATTTTGACGTAAATCGTCGATAAATTGAACGAATTGGCCATAGTATAAGACATGTGTCCAATCAACAAATCAATGGCGTTTTCTTGTTTTCGTTGGATTTGAATTTAACTTTATCTGATTACATCTCGAATCAAGTTACATTTTGTGGTTTTTTCCACTCACGTACACTGAACAAAGTCAATTTTATTCGTCCAATGGATTTCAAGGGTGTGTATATATACAAAATATTTTTCTCTCTTGCATTGAGTATTCCAAAGTACTATAGACACAGACATCACAAATATAAATTTCGTCGTGTACATGTTCTGCATCTTCGCTGAAAACCTGATCGAATGTGCATACATCAAAACGAAAAGTGGAAATTTCAATTTAAATAGAAGTGGAAAATGGATTTTCAATGTTGGGATTTAATTTCAATCCCATTGTAAACAATGATTTACTTGTTCAAAACTCAAACTCAACTTCAATGAGCCTCTTATGCAACTGGAGTAAGACAACATCACCAAATAGTAAATCGGATTATTTTGAGGACATAACTTTTTTAAACCATCTTTTGCATTGTGAAGTTATGGCAATAGTTTTTGGAATCACTGCAAACAATTTTTTTTTTTTCAAATTCAGATGCTAAATACGAGATAGTCAAATTACGGTCGACGTCAAATTTCAAAAAATCTTTCATTTTTTTTTTTTTCAAAGTAAAATTGCGAAAAATAAATCTCAGTACTTATTCATGATGGCTATTGAAATATGAATCAAACTTAACGAATCAATTTAATTGAAGTTGGAATTATTTTAGTCGCCATATAATTCGTAGTAGCACATCGTTCCTCTTTTTCATCAGGCGGAATAAAAATATCTGCATCATCCAAATATATTTTCTGCTCTTTTTACGTTGAATATTCATTTTGGAAGTAATATTTAAAGAGATATTGTCAAAATAAAGTTGCAAAAAAAAATCTGTCGACTATGTTGAAAAACTGTAACAAAAAATGTTTGCTATATTCACAACAGTTAACGGATACTATCGAAATGCATTTGAAGTGATTCAAGAGGAAAAGTTTTTATCGTTTCCGTTCGTTTTGTGTTGAAAATGATATAAAATAATCGCAACGTATGGAATATATACCTGTAGCATTGGTGCATGATGGATTGCATCACCATTTCCAGTCGGAACATTGGTCGACTCTTCGTCAATAGTTGGTGGTATTGTTGATTGTTGTGTATTGGAATTTCCTGATCGAAAAGAGAACGAGATCCAAACAAAAATATAAATGGCGATTCATTTATCATTTTGGGTAAAAAATATTTGTCAGTCAACGACAATTACCTGTATTTGAATTGTTGAGATTATTTTGCGTTGACTTTTTATGGTGATGATGATGATGATGGTGATGGTGTTTCTTCTTATTTTTGATGATAATTTTTCCTTTCAACAACGACGGTGGTGGGAGTTCAACATTTGATTCTAATGGATGAGATTCTAATGGCGTATCTAATAACATATCCCCAAATATCTCACGACAATAATTTGCTATTTTGGCCTGCAAGGAAAAGTATATATGAAAAATGTCATCATCATAACAATTTCATAGAATCCTTCGAAGTGAACTTACTTGTTGTCGAGGATTACAATGATTTTCAAAACTTAATATCACAGGTAACTCAGAAGTTTTAAATGCACTCTCGGCAATTGCCTCGAGCACATCTTTAGCAAAAATATCAGGAACAAAAGTATAACCATGCACAATGACTGGCTCCTCGGTTCGGCTATTCCAAAAATCTAGTTCGACGCATCTGCAAAATAATATGGATTTATATCTTAACAGGTTGTCTATATTCTGGTGATAAATGAGTCTGTTCGATGGTAATTATTTGCGATAATGCTTTTTTTTTTTTTTGGTTGGTACTTTGATTGAAAATGCGTATGAAATTGGTCGTAAATTATTTCATTTGCTTGATTTTTATCATCGTCTCGCATCTTTTCCTTTCACCAAAGACAGCCCCATAAAACGGAATCGCATAACAATCAATGGCGTACCGAAAATGTTTCGATCGTCATTGTGTTTATCGCTTACCTGCATCCAGCTAATAAGACTTGTCGATATATTTCCACGGAGCTTTTTCCAGTCAATTGATGGCCAGTCAAATAGGTATTATGTGAAGAATTGATGAAATAATGAGATAATGGCTGCTCCATATCGTCGCACAAATCTAATTTACTTAGTGCCATAACTGGGTTATCATCTGACATTAAATATCTGCATCAAGCGCAACCAGACAGATTTTTACAATGTTTTATTTTTTAGTTAAACGGCGTAACAGATGACGATAGATGGCATTTTGTTTTAGAACCATAATAGAATTTAAATGATGGCCGCCACAATTTTTATCATCACAATGTCGCACGATTCCAATTTGATTGATTTGAAAATTGGACAGTACAAAAGGCAGAAAAAAAAAAGAAAATGGAAGAAAATCATGTAATGTGTCAACAAAGTTTCACTTTTGTAAACGCTACACTATTATTAATGCTTAAATACATGCAATCATTTTGAATAATAAATCTTCGATTTCAGACACAGTGTTTTTTTATACATTTTCCTCAATTTGTCTTCGTCTGGTTTTTATTTGGTCGCGACGAATAATATCGAAACATGAAACTTAAATTGAATCAACATAAATAACAAATAATTGAATTACACTCTTATACACACTCACACTCATACGTAAAATCCGTCATCGAAGTGACACTCAATTTGATTAAAAGATACAAAAGGAAAATGTAACGCGACAGCACTCAAGGGACATGCAAAATACAATTAGACCAATCAGAACCTTACCTCAAGAATCCATCTAAACTCAATTGACCTTTCTGTACATTGAATTTATTGGGTTCATATTGGGCGATGAGTTCTTTAGCTCGTGCTGGATTTGCATATGGATAAAGAATCTCGTTCAACCTGGGATCGCGTTGAGTCTTATTGAGAAAGTCTACAAGCTGTTGCGTTGACATTGTACATCGTTTTGATGATGATCCCACCCTACGAATTTCAAATGATTTTAACATTTTCAGAAAAGAATGAAAAAAACACGAAAACAGGATCCAATTCAAAAATAAAATTGAAAAAAAGTGGTGAGAACATGATTCATATTTATTGCTTTTAAATCAACTTTTACGTTTTTTTTTTCTTCGTAACTTTTACATTTAAGTCGAATTCCACTTTTGTTAAGAAATAATTTTAAAATTCAGACTTATGTGCTGCTGACTTTGAAAGTATATTTTCAATTCCTTTTTGTTTGTTAAAAAAGATAATAGCAAACTCTTCAAAACACTTACAGTTCTTCAAAGATCTTCTCCACTTCGGAACGCTGCGTTAGATTCTTGTACAAATTGTAAAAGTCCTCAAACTGAAATTTATTATGTGCAAGCGAATCATTTTTACCCGATGGTAAGCCGGACACATCTAATGCTTTTTCCACGCGTCGTTTGTCGTCCTTATTTGATGCAAACTGTTTTATAATACTGCAATGGAATGGAAATATAATTCAATTGATTAATCGATTTGCAATTTGCCAAATCAGCATCTCATTCCATATTCTAACATGATTTATATTTATTCATCATCCAGCAGTAAAACGGAATGTATTTTTTACGTTTTTGTTGGCATTTTATGACTTCAGGTTGTTGTCGTGTAAGCTCTATAGTTTCATGGAACACATAGCAATTTTATTATACAATATTTAAAGTGAGACAAGTTTTTTTATGGAGCTTTCGTTAAAGAGAGAAAAGAAACATGCATGGCATCTTCGTTCATTCGTTTTATTCTTTTTACTTCTCCGCAAACACCTAGTGTGTAAGGTAAAGTATTGGAATCGGTCAAAAAATTAAAACCCATCAAAAACATGTTTTTTGGGTGTTTTTGGGGCCAAGGAACATGAATCTAGCGTTTTTTCGATGTCCGAATGTATGTGCGTACCCTGTACGCAAAAATTTGTTGACACGATAAATTTCAAACCAGAAAAGTAATTCAAAATCCGACTTCACAGGATGATTGGGGGTGCCGAGGAATAGAAACCATTAGATTTTGAGCGACTTTGGTTGATGGAGTAAAGTGTCATGTCTGGTGTGATACCCATGGCCATCCATGGGAAAAATTCAATTTTTCTTCAAAAATTGATATTTAATGTATGATATCGTAATAAGCTGAAACTTTGCACAGGTTATTTTTTTCACAATAAAACAACATACCGATGGTCTGAAGATATTTCAATGCATAATAGGGGTACCTCCCGAACAAAATTTTGGATTTTTTGCTCAAAACCGAAAATTTTGTATGGAAGGTACCACTTAATTGTATTGAAATTTCTTCAAACTTTCAGAATGTTAGCTTTTTGTGAAAAAAATAACATGTGCAAATTTTCACATGATTACGATATCACACAGGCATTGAAAAGTCTATCAAAATTTATTTGTATCGCAAAACTTATATCAGATTCAGTTTTCTCATGAATTCATATTTACTGTAAGAGATACGTAATAAATGCATGTTGTGAATAAAAGTGCGGAAAAGTTCGTCTTACTCCTGTAAGACTCTTTATTTTTGTTTGACATGATTTTGCTAAACGGCAACCGTATCAGTATTCCAGTTACCATATTAGCTACATTCAGTAGCTTCATATGTTTTTTGTTCATTATATGAATAATGAAAACATTCAATGCTTTTCCGGCAGTTTTCCTTTATAGTTGTGTGAATGTTATCTTTTTCTCTCGTTGGCAATTTTCTTCACATGGTTTTGAAAATACAGTATTTTACATTCCTATCATATGTGTATTGTTTAACCATGTACGGCGAATATTTTTGCTGTTAGAACATCAGCGGTCGACAAGCCACCTTCATATCACCACTAATGATGCTTTTATTGAGTTTTCCATGTTTTATTCTATTTATACACTGTGACATTCTATATTTGTAGACACACGAAAAAAGTTTATTTTTTAAAAAAATTCTCAAAAGATGGCGCGCTCGACAACGTTCAAAAACGTTCAAGTGTCAAACATCACTTATGTCATGTGTGGAATTGTTTAACGCGCCTTAAGTCCAGTGACAGTGTGTTTTACCGGAATACAGTGTTTTGATAATGTTGCGAATAGGAGGTAAGTTTTGTAATTAAATCAATATAATGTTCATTAAAAATTAATTTATTCGAGTGTCAAATAATAAAAATGAAATAAATCATAAGAATATTACGAAAATGCTCGTGTGCGTGATCAATAAAAACAATCGTGTTGATTAGTAACTTTAGAGTGAACAAAAAATGCGCATGAAATGTTTTGACTATGTTATGTTAATATGGACGATTTTATAAATTTACTATAATTTTTTATGGTACTTTTATGATTAATAATATTTTTTACAAAAATCGACTAATGTCGAAACATTTCATGCGTATTTTTTAAAACATGAATTTCGTGTAGTAAAAAATGAAGTAAAAAAATGCATGTTCATCTTTGTAGTGAAGTTGTGTTTGTAAAAGTACCACAAAATTCATAATAAATTTACAAAATCCTCTATAATCAATAGTCGAAACATTTCATGCGTATTTTTTACCTACTAGGTTCTGGTAACTTGTACCATCAAGTTGGTACAAATAATATTTACAAATGTATACGAGAGGCGACATGCAAGAAGACTAAAATCACTTATAAGTATCTTATATGTGATCACTATGGATGCAGTGTTAAAGCGCGACTAGAAAACAATGCAATGCAAGAGACCATTGGTAACCACATCGTGCACTCTAAACAAGATCGTCAATTGAAAATTGCTTTGGTGCACCTCGAGAATGAAGTCAAATCGAAAGCGAAAGACAATGTGAAACCAAAACTCATCTATATGAAATGCCGGGAAAAGATTTTGGAACGATATGATGGCATCCAAATACCTGACAGTATTTGGCCTAAGGCCAGACACTGGATCAACAACGCCCGAAGAAAAGGTGCATGCGTTTTTCATTTTATTAGCAATGTTACTACAAATTTCATAGTAAATTTACAAATTTCTTTTGACATTTGACGCTGATTTCGTGTTATGTTTTTTAGTTAATACCACCAAAACAGAGCCTGGAAACAGTGGCCTCGATGCGGAAGGCGAAGCGAACCTAGACATTGACGATCATGGTGC